ATGTTATATAAACACATTTTTTGTTGTTTTTGTGTCATTGTTCATATAATATTGTACTTGTAAGTATAAAAAATGATCTCGAAATAATTTTGAATATTAAAATTAGAAAACTTGTGAGAAACTTATTTTCAGTAAAATATCATATTTTAAAATAGAGGAAAGATTATAATCATCAATTTATGATTATAATCGTAACAATCAACATTGCTCTGTAAATATTTAAGTATTCACTGAATGTTAAATTAGAATGTTAAGTCAGTCTTAAAACAGAAAAATTTGTAGTGATTAAAAAAATACTGAACTGAATACAATTGTAAATAAAAACAATATACATTTGCAACTGTTAACGTTTATCAAAACATTACTACTATCGTAAGTAAATATTATCACTTAAGAGAACATCTTATTAGCCCTTTAAGAAGAGAGTGATTGCAAGGGTTGTAATCATTAAGAACGGATTAATTGTTCTGATAATTTGAACTATTTTGATTGAATAAAAGAAAGGAAAAAAAATCCCCCAAACACGAAGAATATCGAAAAAATAAATAAAAGTTCTTAGTTCATACAGATTGTTTTGTTTTTGGACGTATATATGCATCCATAGTACTTCAAGGGTAAAAATTTATAGAAATATTAATTCTGTTTATTTATTGGTTTGATAAGATATGATTAGTTTTTGTGCTTAAAGATTGATATCGCTTACAAAATAAATTCTACACGAATCTTTAAATTTTTTGCATCCAAGAATATTTCAAAATAAATTTATAAACGGATACATGTACTTTTTATTACATGGTTGACCTAGAAAAAATCTATAAACAACTACACTTATAAAAAAAATATATTTTGTATACTTTTGAAACTATTTGAATTAAGTGAACAATATTTGTTTGTATTGTCAGAAATAAAGAATATATTTAAATAGCTTATAAGATGTTTTAATAGGATATTTAATAGGGTGTTTTAAAGGGACACCCTGTATAGTAGCATAGGTACTTTTTCTCTTTCTCTTCCTTATTTCTTTTTTAAATATAACTAATGTCTCATGAGAATCTGAGAAATATACACTATATTTATCGGAATTAGTAATAAATTGTAATGAAAGCCGAAATCTAATTAATCAAACACACATTGACTAATAGGCGTTTACATGTAAATATATTTGCCATGTAAATATAGATTGCCATGATGTACTGTGATAAAATGATCAATGACTTTTTTTCTTCTGAGTAGAAAAGGTCTAACCTTACTTTTTTCTTTTTTGTTAGTAAAGTTATGTCCGAGTTATGGGATATAGTAAGAACGTTACAAATAAATATTTCCACAGTAAAACATGTATTTTGGTTTTTTCTGTTTTGGAGATTCATCCTTGAACGACATTATCGTTGTTATACAATAATACAGATTTTTATAAAAAAAAACATACACAGATATATGTATATGTGGCGGTCAATGTATATATTTCGAGAATTTTATGGATTACCTGAGGCATTCGATAAAATGCTCACTAAAATTGAACAGTATATATATTAACTATTATATTTTATACATTACCCGGTCAATCTATAATATACCCAGAAGGTTTTGATGAATCTATAAAATATGTTTCAGTGAAGTGTGTTTAAAACACGAAGAAAAGAGGAGAAGGAGAAAGTAGAAGTGATTTTAAGCACTTAAAAGTGAAACAAACTACGACAGGTGTATGTTCGTACAATCATAAAATGATCTTCACTTTCGGTATTATTACGAACTTGATTTTCCAAACTTACAACGTTGTAAGAGTAGAAAGAGGTAACATAGAAAAAAACACGAATTCTGTTATTAACTTTTTCGCTTCGAGCTCCGCATATATTCGACATCCACGAGATGACCTGTGGGTATGAGCGCTGTATATATATGTCGTCTACAGGTAAAGTTTTGTAAATATAGAAATACTTATATTACCTATAATTTTGTAATATATTTTATTTTAAAAATTAACTTATATTTGTCATATTAGAGCAACGATTATTTTATTCAACACAATTTATATAAGATTATATGTTATATAAGATTTAGAATAACGTATATACAGAAACATCAGTGACGGTACTTTTGTAGACTGGACTACCGATAAGAAAGGGTTAATAATTAAAGGTACATTCGGTTATTCTGTAACTGTAAAAATCAATATGATGTTCGGTTTCTGTTTAAAGTTTAACTGTTGTTCCTCAAAAAATTACTTCACTCTCACCCCCTTCCCACCCAACCCATTCTTTAAACATACTCTACTGAGACACATTTTATTGATTGATCGAAAACCTTTGGGTATTTTATAGATTGATCATTGCCATGTATGAAAAACATGCATAAAATATACATTGCCCAATCTCAGTGGGCAATCTATACAATGGCCGCAGTAATATATTGATATTAGCATATGCATACATAAAAATATGCATATGAAGAACCTCATACGTGTTCTGTACACGGCTTGTTTTCTTTCTTGTACTAGTTGGCTCTTGTTTGTACGAACGAAAGCATTGAAAATTCGTGTTGCATGACCCAGATTTTAAATCGCAGTTTATTCATCTCCGCGGAAAGAAAGGATATAGTCACGATTCGAATCCGACCGAGCGTGATGATAAGTAGAAAGGTGGCTGAAATAAATAACGCGCCCCTTGCTCATTCGCAAAACTTTTTGTTTCCTCTCTTCCTTTTATTTTTCCTTTCTCCCCCCCCCCCTCTCTCTCTCGCTAACTTTCTTTCTCTCTACTTTTTTTTATCTCTTTTTCAGTTTTTCACTTTCTCGCCCTCTTGCTCTTCTGCGAAAAAATTTAATACGAACATCTACTTAAAGTTTGTCTAAAATATCAATTTTTTTTCGTAGATAACTACTTTACCGACTATTTCCTCTTGTTTCTCTAAAAGGACTTTCATATTTCGAATACTTTTTTCTTGTGATTGAAATTAAAGAACACGAAAGAATATTACTTCGCTAGGTAAGTTCGGTGGGAGTTAATATGTAATTACAAAATTTGCACGCAAATGAAACTTTTTGATTCAACGGGGAATAATATTCTATTGGGTTTACAATAAATAATGTCGCTAATAATTTGTGATATTTTATATGTAAATTAGGAAAATTAAATTGTATAGAACATTATTGTATTGTATTGAATGAAGTTCACTTGTAATGTGTTGATAAAAGAGTAATATCTATGATATCATTGAATTAGATTACTTCCATTGTATAGTATTATAAATAAAAAATTATCTTATTTAGTTTTGTGTTTATTTAAGTATGAAATATAGAAAATTCGAACATAACTTATTAGTCAACCCAATACTTGAATCATAACTTCAAATGAATATAATCCTTGGTTACGATTGTTTATTATAAATACTATAAATATAAATCAATAATATTGTTGAGTTCTGTGATGTAATAAAAGATGTGGCCTGTTTTTGATCAAGCAATTAACCCTTTACCAGAGAATGTCATAAGGAATTGTGGGTGGCTTTGAGAGTGATGAGATTTGGATGCGAAAACTGAAGTGAAACAGGGTAGTTAAAGTATAAAACCTATTGAAATCTTTTTTGAAGTGAAAACTTCTTTAGAATCAGGGTGATTTGAAAATTGTAAAACGGAAGAATGTGAAACGGAAGAACGTGAAACCGATGAAACAAAAATGATTAATTAATTAATAAAATTCAATATATAATTTAATTCTATATATATATATATATATATA